TAAATGTCATAAGTCATTTTGTTTCAACACTCCTCATACCGAGGTAAGTTGAAACAGGAGTCGGGGTGTTAAGATTGTAACATAGAAACAACCATATATAATTTAAAGGTATTTATTGAAATACAACTTTCAAAAATAGGACCCAATTTTTTTTAATATTTGTACTGAATTGAGCATTTAGTATTCAACTATTAATATGTAATGTCAACCTTAAAAAAATAATAATGTATTCTGTAAAAGTATAAACTTAAACTAGATTAGTACGACATGAGATCATCATTAACTTATAAAAAATCACTAACGTTTACGAAAAGTAAAATAGAAACTATTGTTACGTTTTTCGTCGGTTCGGTGTGGATAGAAAGTCACAATTTATTTAAACACTATTTATTTACACTAATTAACAAAAACAATAACGATAAAAGACTTAAAGAACTATTAACAAACGATTTACAACTATTTATCTAGAAAGAATTTATTTTGAATTTCGCGCGTCAACTGTACTCGTCTTATTCATATCTCTCCCCTTTAGGCTCCAGCCGCCGGCTTTTATACCCACAGCTAAAGAGCTTCTCGAATAGTCCATAAATCATTAGGTGCATAGAGAAGCTTTCGAATGTTCTCGTATATACTACTCCATTCCAGTGGAACTCGATTTTTCTCGAACGTCCGAATGAATCATTACGGTGTCTATTCTTTAATGCGATGGTAAGGTCATCTGAGGGGCCCTCAGATGACCTTAGGGGGGCGGGACATATAGTTAGGTTAGGTCAAGTCCACACGGGTTCAATAAAGAAATATTCTGAGAAGCAATTGTGACAAACATATGAATGTTCGCTACCAGTGCAAACTCTTTCATTCCAAACATTTTTCTTTGGCGTTACTATTTGAATAGGGTTCAAAACACAACAAATACAATAGTATTCCTCTTCTTATTAGGTTTTATATATTGGATTTTTAAAGTTTTTTTGGAGCTTCGAAATTAAGGCTTTTAACTTTTTTCTTTGCCATTCATTTTAGCTGACTCAATTGCAGCCAAGGTAATAATTCTAGTATAATTATTTCCTTTAAAGAAAATCGTTACCATGACAAATATTCAAACTTTATCAGTATCAATTATTAGCGTTTACGTGCTAAATTTCTAAAATCGTCATGGTAACGAACTTCTTGAAATGAAACTACAGGGTGTTTTCAAAGTTGAGTCATTTATTTTAACAGCTTGTAGAACTCGTCAAAAGAAGTCGATATACCAAAAGTCACCTACATAAAAGTTGCATATTAAAAGAAATAAAAAGGAATTTCAAAATTTTAAAACTAACGCTATTACAAACTATTTATCCGCAGATTTTAATATTCACGACCACTGCCAAGTAAAAACGTAACGTTTGTTTACTACTAAATTTTACTTATCTAGGTATGGCTGATTTTTTTCTTTTATGGTTTTGAGAACGATTTTCGGTTAGATATTGGTATAAACCGTTTAGTGCGTATCACTTTCATTTCTTTGATATTTTGTACAGGAAAATGGCCCACGTTTATGGAAACAATGAACTAGTGGACATAATACTAACATACGGAGAGTGCCAACAAAATGCAGCCGCAGCATGTCGCCTTTACGCGGAAAGGTTTCCTTAATGAAATCATCCGGCTCCACGGATGTTTGTAAATTTAGTTATTCGACTTCGTGAGATAGTATACTTGAAAGACCAACGAGGAGGTCAGGCTTGAAGACCTGCTCGCCTGCCACACCCGAAATGGTAGAAATTGAGGAACATATTTTGGAAATGGTGGGAGATGACCCAACAATAAGTTCAAGAGCCATAGCTACTCAAGTCGATATTTCCCATAGTAAAGTGTGGAAAACAATACGACAAGAACAATATTATCCCTATCATTATCAACGGGTACAAGCATTACAACCTGAAGATCATCCTAGAAGAGTTGAACTTTGCCAGTGTTTTCTACACAGTTGAACAGAAATGAAGATTTTACGAAAATCATTTTAGGCATGGTGGTTATTTCAGGCATGGTTATTAAAATACGCTTTGCGGTACTTTTCACCTTTATATGAGAGGTCGAAAGTAAGAGTGGGATAAAATTTTGTTCAAAGCAAAAGTGGGTTTAAATTTTCTCTAAGATCAAAAATAGCATATACATCACAACTTTGGGCAAAAGTGAATCGAATATTAATCAGCGCAAAAATGGTTCGACAAAATATTCAGGGCAAAAAAGCTATAAAATATTAACCCGTTTTTGCGCTAAGAAAATAATACGTAGATTCGATAGACGATAAGAAAATGGTTCTTTTTACCTCTGCGCGCTGCCGTATTTATGTACTATCGAAGGGACGTTTTTATAATACTATTGAGTATTGAGTGCTGTTTCACATGGAGCGGACGTGCGGACCATCGTGGACCATTGTGTGTATTTTTAAGAATTGACGGAGTACTTTCACCTGTAGATCGCCCATTGGTTGAACAAGTACCATGAGTATTGAATGTATGAATACTTTCACATAGGCGCGGATGATCCGTCGAAGCAAGGGATCGACGGATGGCTGTTGGACGAAATCATACGGGCGGACCATCCGCGCCCATGTCAAAATACTCATACAAGCTCATAGTACCTCTTCAATAAACGGACGGTCCGCGCGGACGCCGGACGGCCCGCTCCATGTGAAACGGCACAACAGGGACGATCAGCGCGGACGGTTTGAGCGAATGCTCCGCTCCGTGTAAAACTGCACTTCATACTAAATTTTATTTCGTGTTTTTGCACCTATTTTAGTGTGTTGTTTATCTTTCTTGTCTATGGTGTTGTTCAGTATGGCAAAGCATCTCTAGCAGAGCTGCAAGCTCACAGAAAACTTAAGTCTTTTTTTGACTTAAATCATTTTAGTGACTTAAGTCATTTGATTTTAAGTCGATAAATCAAATGACTTAAGTCATTTCATTTATTTCGAAAGATGACTTAAAATACTTAAATCTTTTTTTAACGACTTAAGTTATTTTAAAAAAGATTTAAATCTTTTAAAAGATACAATATGACCGAAAAAAGAACGGCGTCAGCGATGACTATGAAATGAAGTTCGCTGTCATTTTATATGTAAAATTATATGGGGAATGTCATTGATGTTTATTTCCAAGCCAACTGGATGCCGTTTTTTTTTATCATACGGTATATACCTATTGATATAGTAATTATTTATATTTTTTTGCTTCACACTGCTGTACTGCTGTTTATATAATTTTTTTGTGTTTCACACACATTTTTATACCTATAAGATAATGAGTTTGATATTACAAAACACAGTATTTTAGTTATAGGAAAATATAAAAGCCTAACGGCTCGGAAATTTTCAAAAGTGAAGAATATAATTATACAAAAATTATTTCCATTGTCTAGATGTGCACTTCCGAATATAACTTGTTTAGTTTATATCTGGTCGGCACCTTTTGACTTCGGCACGCGCTTTGATATCACACACGGACCGCCGCCGCCGATGCCATTTGAAGAAAAATATATTTCATAGAAAAATTAAATTACTCCCTCTTTTTATGCGATTTTTCGAAAAGAAAATGCGGACTGGGACCACATACGTATTTGCATTGATTGTGTCCGCACGTGTAATACGGAAGAATATAATATTTTTATTTGTTTAATATTTTTTTGAATTTTGTTTTATTTTTTATTTAATATAATTTATTTACGAATTTGTATTTTGAAAAAATAAATTCAGTGTTCAGTGACTTTAAGGATAATAGATAATGAAATGAAAAACACATTTTTATGGCCACTTTTTCTGCTCTATATCTCTGTGTGATGAAATATTGTCTCTGACGTTTCGGCTTCTGGCGACCATCATCAACTTAATTTTTTTAAATATGGACCTGATTTTTTTTTTCAATTTAATTAAATCCTTTCATCACTCTTAAAACACTATATATAGTCACTTTGATATTTGCCGACGTTTCGTACAGAAAATTCCATAACCAGAATATTTTATGCAAAAAAAAAATAATAAAAATGCAATACGGCATTTTATTGAGCATCAAATTGTGGCAACTTTGCCTCCATTTAACCGATCCTGTATCTCTTACGGTTTCCGAAATCCCAATGATGAGCGTCGAATTCGAGCCACCCTGTACAGAGTTCTGAAACCAGCAGCTTATAAATTTCTAGTCTGCACCGCCAACAAGCGTCACTAGCAAACAACTATTTAGAAAGAATATGATGAAACACTGCGTAATTTGAAAGGATGCAATGCTGAACAATTACTTTTTTAGCCTGTAACATAGACTAAAAAAAAGTAATTTTATTAGTATTAGTAATTTTATAGTGTTAAATCCCAATAAAACCGTTTCTGCATGAAAATAACGTTTTTATTACATTATTATCAAATTTTTTTCATATAATAAACTATTATATATTTGCATCGTGTCTCGGTCTCGTTCTCGGCCGAGAATTTATTTTTTTCTCGGTCTCGGTCGAGACTAAAAATCCAGGTTCGGTCGGACCTTAGTAATTTGTTTGTTTGCCGTTCTGGGAAATCCAGCCTGGTTAGCTCATCTGATGATGGGGTATAGGCCCCGAAACCGGTAACGAGAGGGTGGTTGGTTTCCCCATAACGGCAAACAAACATAATTTTTTGTTATTTTCCGTTTTTCATTATTTTTGGAAGCTGAAAATTTTACAAAACAGCAGTTACAAGGCAAGAAACATTTTTATTTAAATATTACATGTTGATACTGCAAGAACCCCTCACTTATTTTTTATTATGGACCCGCCCGAAAATGCTTCTATCCAAGAAATATTTTTATCTGTTAATAGATTGACATATTTTTACATTTTTTTCAATTAAATAAATCACATGAGGGGTCAAAAATAATAATGTTGCGGACCCGTACGTAACAATAATCAATATTCATTTCAAGAATCGCATAGGTGCGACGCCATATTTTCGTTTATTATGGTCTTTACTATACTCATTATGGTAATTTTAATCTATAATTTTTCAGATAAGAGATGTTGCAAATTTGGATGCTCTAATGAAGCTACCAGTAATAGATCTTGTTTTAGATGGGAACCCGTTATGTAATAAGTTCAGAGATAAAGATACTTATATAAGGTATGTGTTTCAGGTTTTTTGATTTATTAGATTTTTAATTATTCTTGACAAATTTAAGATATTAATTAATTTATTTTTATAAAAAAGGTCTGTCCAAACATATTCATGTTCTAGATACTTTAATTACTACATTTAAAATATAAAACTGTTATATATCAAGAAATCAAAATGTGAAGAATTTGCATACTGTTTGTTGTCTATGAAACAAAACAAGTATCTACATATCTAAATAAAATCTGCTACTTGTTACTTGTAAACTCAAATGTTTTGATTATTCATTTCAATATTAACTAAATATGTAATAAAGTAATATATTTTGTTGGACATAACATGAGAACATTTTAAGATGTACTATTTTTTGCAAAGGTTATTAATTGAAAGTCTGCTTTTAATTTCATGTATTCATAAGTGAAACATCATAGTAGTCATATAATTACATTGAAGAACTGAAAATATATATGTATACCAGACTTCTTATATTTATAAATTAAAAAAAAATACACCAGTACAGGCTCAAAGCTTTTAGTAGACAGTGTACACAACATATTTTTATGTACAGTGGTTACGTTTGCCTTTGCACTATCACATAAAAAATATATATTTTTTATATGAAAATAAGGCAATACTGGAACTGCTCCAGAAAAACTCCTTATAACCTTTTGTTGAGGTATGGAGTTGGAATAAAAATGTACCAATATGTTTCACTGTTGAAATAAAGCATGGCCAGAAAATATATGATTTCCCTTCCACTACTTCCTAAAAGTCCTAAAAAGAAGTTTGGTTATGCAATTTTTTGTATATATAAAAAAATGAAAAAGAAGTGTAAGAAATGTATGTATAATATAAAATATATTTATATATATTTTTATTTTTTAAATAGTTGAATTACATGAAATTATTATTGCATTTTGAAGTACAAGGTTTTTGCTATTTGATTTTATTTCATATATTATCTATCTGGTAAGGTAATATATGAATGATTAAGGTAGACAGTGCTCAAAAAATAAAAATATTTAATATATATGATATATGATCACTTGCAGTAGAGACTCAGCCTGCATATATTATATAGTATGGGGTTTTATTAATATTATATTTGATATTTAAAGCTCCATATTTTCTCCAAAAGGCTTTATATATGTAACTTCAAAAGTTGTCATTTTTTAAAATTACCACATGCAAATTTAACAATTTTCATTCGATAATATTATCCAAAGTTACTTTATTATTATATAAAAGTTTTCAGCATTTGTTATCTCTTATATTCTTAAATATGGATGAGTAATCAAATAAAATTTGATTAATAAACAAAATAAATGATATACTAGAACTCTTTTATGTCATTCTAGTGTAGTAAAGTACAAGTTAATAAATCTACAAGCAGATGATTATACAGCCTTTAGGATTATAGTCTGTCCAGTAAAAGAATATATGATAGTTTTGACAAATATCAAAAAACTCTCAGAAAAAAATACTCTACTAAAAATTACAGAAAAAAGTCACTCTCATATATTTATTAACTAGACAAACTATAGATATAGTTCTGAGTGACAATAAGAGTGTTCTAGATGTAAAACTTAAAACGGATAATTTTTGTTATGACAACAATGGTTGTATTCCTAAAGTGTATTTTTGTAAAATGCAATAAAGTTCTTTTCATTTTGTTTTATAACTTATATTTGAATTATTAATAAGATTATTGTTAGATTTTGATAAAAGATCTAGTACAAATGTGTTTGGATAGTATAGATAGTAAAAATGCGTTTGGATTTGGAGACGCAGCAATAGAACTTAATTGTTATATTTTGTTGATATAATCTATGCTCTGAGCGAGTGTTGCAGGTTTCTATTGACCATCTAATCGCTATTGTTGAGCCTTATTTGGCTCACCGTTTTCTATTTGCAGTGAAGTCCGTAAAAGGTTTCCCAAATGTATAAAATTGGTAAGCATACAACTAGTAATAGCATATTATAGTTTTTAGGACCTATTTCAAATTTAATGAAATACTATTTTTAAAATTGTAGCCTACCTCAATTAATTTGTTTAAATTGGAAAATAACATTAATATTTACACGAAATGTAACTCATAGGGACATGTAATTAGAATTTTTTAACTACCTTTTAAAAACTAAGACTATATTTGAAGCATAGAATTAATTTACTTTTAATATATAAATTACAATATTGAAAAATTTTGCTACATACTTAACACTTTACGGAGTGTTATTTAAGTACAGTATGATCGAAAGAAAACGTGGGCAGCGCGGCGCGGCGAAAATGACGATCGGTGTTTCACCATATAATTTTACGGTTATGCTGTTTTTTTTTCGTTCATATTGTATATAGACAAACCTGAGGAGGTGATTCTTTGAGCGATATAAATATTGATGCAGGAATACTTTATTTCCAATAATGGTTGTCAAACTTTAAAAAAGTAATTGGTTTCTCGTAATTTTCTGGATGTGCTGCATCGCCCACGTGAACATGGGAAATCCATGTAAATTTTAAAAATGAACAATAGAAGTTTTATTTTGGAAAAAGGCTTATTTGAAACTTTTTTCAAGTACTTAGAAATAAAAAACAGTTTTAAAAACTTAAAATGAAGCAAATTATTTTGCATAATTTATACGAATTCGTTTTCAAGTTATGCGAGAGAGATACAAAAATACAAAATTATATCACAATATGACAAATAAATTATGATTTTCTTCTATAGATTTGTCAAAAATATCCTAAATTATATTCTCCAGGAAAAATTAAAAAAAATACACTGTAAACATAATTGAATCTTTTAAAAATCAAATATATTTCGTAAATAAGTAAACCAATGCTTCAAACGAAAATTTTGTGGATTAAATAATTTGTACTTGTTATCTATGTATAATATCTATAATATAGGGAAATGAAGATAATTTGCGCTACATTTTCTGTTCCCAGTTGTAAGTTAAATTTAAAAGTTGATCCAGTATATGCCGAGAAAATGAAAATATTCCGAAATTTGATATATGCTCTTAAGTGTCCAAGATGCCTCGCATGCCTTTTGACTCTGTATGAAATAACTTATAAGTGGTATTATAAAAAGACATCCATTGCGAGATAGTTTCCATTTTGTTGAAAACCTGGCCTTCAAGGATTTTTTAATTATTTTAACAGAAGTGAGATAAAGACGTGCTTCGTCGTATTTGCCTTGTAAGTTATCTGGTTTGAAAAAAAATTCTAGGTGATTATATCGACACTATGGAGTCGTAAGGATAAATATCTTCGTGCATTAAAAAATGGTCATAAAAAAGGAAGACTTAATATGGCGCTGCTGTAGCAAAAACCTAAAATTTAAAATGTGCGCCGAAAATTTTTAGAACAGGAAATGATTCAAAAGAGATAAATATTTGACGTGAAGGCGCGGGTTTCAAAAAAATACAAATTTTATTTTCATGTTACATGAAATAAATTATCGATTTTTATTCAGCAGCAATAGACTGGGCCTCTAATATATAAAAATAATTGTTTTATATTCTAAAAAATAAAAACAAAGTTTTTTTGGGTAATGTTTGGTTATGTTACTTTTATTCTCTTATCTATGGTTACTTTTCATTTTTTAGATTTACCCGTCGTTAGCGCCACTGTGGCTATTTGGTGAACCCTTATTCTTCCCATTTTTGTGACCACTTTTTCAAATAAAGTCGTATAAGAGATATTTCTCCTCATCTCTGCACTCTGTAATCGACACCTCACTTGATTGGCAAGAACACATAATAAAATAAAATCAAATGAACGACCTTCGTCGGCTTTGTTTGCAATTAGGAAAATTGGCTTTACGGTAAGGCAACAGGTGACAATAATAACATATCTCTGAAGTCGTATTGCATACTATTTTGCACTTTTCTTAAACAGTGTATTAAGCAAAAGAAAGCAATCAGATCAATAGCAAATATACCTGCAATTGATAGTTGTAAGCCCTTTTTCCCATCTTTGCGCTTAATCACTATATGGAAAGATAATAATCCTTGACAACGTTATTTTAAAATAAAACTTATGTTTGCCACACATTTTGGAGCACTCGATACAATTAAAAATAATTTAAATTATGCACTTTAACACCGTCTGAAACTTCTGTATTTATTTTTAGCACTCGAAAAACAAATGATTAATTAATTTAATTAATTAACTCGAAAAACAAATGAGATAATGAACATTAATGCATTGTTGACTCACCCTGTACAATAGAAAATCTTTTATTGGCAACCTTTAGTTAATGTTGCTTTCACTAATGAATGGTAGAAATTACTAGTAAAAGCAGACAATTCTTTTTAAAAAACGACATTCATTGGTCAAATGCGTAATTGTTAGCATTTCCTAGTTAGAAACTTCCTAGAAAGTTAACAATCACTGAATCTCCGACTCACTGTAACATATATAATTTTTATCTTAAAATCACCTCCTGAAGTTTAGCTAATAATAAAATGTACTTAAAATAATAATAATAATGTACCTAAATACCGTATGATCGAATAAAAACGGCGTCAGCGATGGCTGTGAAATGAAGATCGCTGTCATTTTATATGTTAAATTATATTGGAAATGTCATCGATCGTCATTTCCAAGCCAACTGGACGCCAAACCAACTGGACTATCATACGGTATCACCTTGTATATTAAGTATAGTATTATTTTGTCAGGATGGAATTGACCTGCCTCCACCGATAAGTTTTGACATCTCAGAAGAAACGCATCTACCTGATGGGCAACAAACTTTCCTCTGCAACTCTGAAGGGGAAGTAATTGTGCGACAGTTTTTGGAGCAATATTTTCAAATCTATGATACTGAAAATAGGCAACCGCTTTTACAAGCATATCATGAACATGCTGTATTTTCATTAACAATGGCATACCCCTATGGATATGGAAAAGAAAAGAATGTATCTTGGCTGAACTGGTACAATACAGACAATAGAAATATATTAAAACTCACTGATGGGGACAGAAGATTTAAATTGTTGAGACAGGGACATCTTTCAGTAGTATCTTATTTGCAAGAAATGCCGCAGACAAAGCATGACATTCATAGTTTTACTGTTGATTTGACAATTTTTACAGTAAGTTGAAATATATTTCTTATTGCCCAATTAATTGCATTACTTTTTTTATTTTCTTTTTCAGCCACACATGATTTCCTTAACCATATCTGGCATGTATAAAGAACTGAAAAGTGGACATAAAATACCGCCAACCAGATTTTTCTTCAGAACTCTGGTTATAGTACCTGCAGGAACAGGATTTTGTATCGCCAATGATCTACTTCATGTTAGTAATGCCACTCCAGATCAAGCAAAGGTAAATATCTAATGAACATTTGTTTTAAATCATGTAATTTAATAATGGCATCATAATCTTCAGAAAATTCCGGGTTTTTTGTTTCAACTATTATTTTAACCATTTTGTACACGGATAGAAGAATAGCTCTCGGCTGTATCTCGGAAAGTATTAGCCATAGGGCCTACGGAAAAAAATATTTTTAACTAAAGAGGCTATAAGAAATTGCTGAAAATTATTTTTAAGTTTGTAGAACGGCAGTTAGAGAGGATAAAAACGCTACTAAGACTATCAAAATGTTGATCTAATAATTTATAATACTAAGGCGCGGTCTCTTCAGTTATAAATAAATAACTTTTATCTAACAAATAACCATCTAAAAGATAAACAATCTAGAGCCTGATATCTATAGGATATAACATTTGGGTATTTTCATACAAAATAATCCAATAGATAACAATTTGGAGGACGGCCGCCTACGGACCGGTAGACACTCTGTAGAGAAAGTATTGCCAATATAAGATATCTGAAATTGAGATGGTTATATATGAAAAGTCGATACAACAGACAGAGACAGAAACTCGGAATTTCAAATCGTTAGATTAAAAAGTGAGGTTATTGTTCAGTTGTCAAAAGATCGTCAAAATGAAAATAAAAACAATAAAATTCAACTAAAATATATTTTGTGT